CGGAGCGGGGCGGAGCTCGGCCGCGCCGTACCGCCCCGCCGGCCGCCTGCGCCGGAGCCTGGGATGAGCCTTCCCCGGAGCTGGGGCCTGGGCCTTTCCCCGGAGCTTGAGCCTGGGCCTGGGCCTTGGCTGGGCCGGGCCTACACCGGGGCCGGGGCCGGGGCCTGGGCCTGCTCCTACTCCAGAGCCTGGGCTGGGCCTTCCCCTGAACTTGGCCTGGGCCTACACTGGGGCCTGGATCTGGGCCTGGCCTGGGCTGGGCTGGGCTGGGCCGGGCCTACACTGGGGCCTGGGTCTGGGCCTGGTCCTGCTCCAGAGCCTGGGCTGGGCCTTCCCCTGAGTTTGGCCTGGGCCTGGGCTGGGATTTCCCCCGAGCTTGGGTCTGGGCTTGGGCATAGGCCTGGGCCAGGGCCTGCACTGGGGCTGGGGCCTGGGCCTTCCCCCGGCCTTGAGTCTGACCTTGCCTTGGGCTAGGGGTCTGAGCCTGAGCCAGGTCTGGGCCTGGGGCTGAGCTGGGCCTGGGGCTGAGGCTGGGCTGTGAATCCCCCCCAGCAATCTCCCTGAGCCCTGTGCGCCCTGCTGGCACATTGCCCCATGCAGGACTGAGCTCCATGCAGGAGCTGGGATGTTGGAGGAAGGACAGGACAGGATGAGGAGAAGGGGTCCCAGGAACCATCCTGAGCGAATCTGATGGTGCCTCCCAGCCTTTCGGACCTCTCAGATCAGTGTGCCAAGCCTAAGTGCATCCCTCCCTTTCGAGCCAAATCTTAGGGGAAAGTTTGTGTTATTCTCTGTTAAATCAATAAACACAGTAGGGTTTCTCTGCTTTTTTTAGATCACAGCTTTCTGCCCTGGCTTTTCATTAGTTGGTGTCCTTAGTTTGACTTTATTGCAGTATGTCAAGGGGGCTGAGTGACGAGGACATGGTCTTTGTAGTGCCTTAAAGACGGTTGCTTACGTGGGACCAGGCTTTCTGGCCAAGGGAGGAAGCGCGGCTGACATCAGTCAGAGGGAAAGCAAGCTGGAGTGTTGGCTGAGAGCCTGGGCTGGAAAATGGAGGAATCTGGAGGAAGAGAGACAGAAATCTGGTGTCAGGGCCGGTACTGCTGTGGAGCTGGGAGAGGGGGAAGAAATGGGGCTCTGCTGTGACCGCGGGTGGAAGAGGTGGCTTGAGATGGCGTGTGGCGGAGGCTGGGAGATGGAGGATGATGCCCCTCTGCACCAAACTGCCTCAGAGTTTGCCTCAGCAAACTGCTGCTGCTGTGTTTAAACCCCTCTATCAACACGAAAGATCGCAGCGCTAATGATAGCAGCCACAGTCATAAGTTTTTCTTCCTGGGTTGGCTTACAGAAAATGCATAATTTAATTCTTCATTCAAAATAGCCCCCCTGCTCAACCTTTGGAGGCTGAGGATGACTGGGAAGGCAATTTTCTTTTTTAAACCAATTTCTTCCGAAAAGCAAACAGAAGCTATTTATATCTCAAAATGAGAATGCTGGTAACCATTTAGATACGTGGAGTATTGACTGTTTGCTCTAAATATAGCAGATGCAATCGCTCAGTTTGTTCCTTCTGTCAGGAATAGATCCCGGCTCGGGCGCTGATGCTGGAATGTGCGAAGGAGCCTGGGGGAGCCCAGGTCGCGCGGAGCAGGTCCCTGCGGGGAGGCTGCTGGTATTTATGGTCCTTGACTGTGCCAGGCAGGAGGTACAGGATGCTGCGTCCTTCGCGTTAGGGCTGAGCCGGGAGGTTCATTTCTGTCACTTTTTATGGCCCGTTTCTAAAGCGAGACTCGATTCAGGCTCCGTGGGGGACGCTTTCTCTGTACTGTGTTGGTTTTAACTCTCCCCTTGACTTTAGGGAGGAGGGCGGCTAATTGCTAGGCTGCTGGCCGCCTGCCTGTGATGGGTGAGTCAGGCAGTCATTAGAGCAGGTGACAACACGCAGATACCATTCAGCTGTACCTAAAGCGCTGTCAATCAGCATTTCTTTGTGCCATTCAGTTCCCATTTTGGGTCATGTGTTCCCACAGCAGCTTGAACACACAGCTTTATCTAGTTGGCTTTCCTCCCTCTTCCCTGCCTCTCACCTTCCCTTTTGTCCTGGTTTGAGGCCCAAACCACAACACCTTTCTCATGGGAACAGCTCCTCTAGATCCCTCAGGTCACCCATCTCTGTCCTTACTGGCTTGCCATGTCTCATGGCAAGTCCAGGGGGAGCAAAGATGTTTTGCCGTAGGGTTGTGGTTCGATAGGCTCCTCCATCACTGAAGAAGCTGGTGAATTGGTCGAATGAGACTGTTTGGTCACCATTTGAACATCAACCTGTGTGAGGAGCACAGTAGAGCAGTGGTTGATACCCTGATGGTGTGGCCCTGGTGAGGGCTGCGGGGAGAGGTGAGACCCAGCTGACAGGTCTGGCAGGGAGGAGAAGGTATTTTGAGTGTGCAGACAAGTGTTTTGCTGAGGCAAGGAGCACTGTGGTGTGCCCTAATCTTCACCTGTCCTTGTGGATCTCCAGGGTGTGAGGCCCCTGTCCCCATGTGGTGAGTATTTGATGACCTGGGTTACGTCTTTGTAATGTAGTTTCTAATAGATATTGCCAACAACATGGTCTTCCCCGTCCACATCATTTTGCAGTCCTCTTGGGGTCTTCATCTCAGACGGAAGGGCTGTGTCTGACCATCCGCTCTTCTCATGCAGGGCTGGGTTTGGTCTGCAGTTCTTCCTAATTTTCAGTCTGGATTTCTTCACCCACTGTCAGTTCCTCAGCAGAAGGGTTCGAAAGAGCAACCTGTGAAAACTCCTAGTGAGGCAGCTAAAACATGAACAAAGATGCTTAGTGTTGAATGAAAAGAATAATTTCCCCCTGGATTTGGTAATAAACCTGAAGTGCAAATGATCAACCTCTTCCTTGCACTTGATTGTGCCTCTTTGTATGATTTGCTTGCTGAACAGCCAGTTTCTGAAATATGCTGATTTCTCCAAATCATCTATCTCCTGCATCTTAAAGCCATCGTGTACACTCATTGCTCACCCAAACATTTGATTAACCCCCAAAACCAGCTAATCCTAAAAACCAGGTGATCAAATAATCCACATCTGGAGCCTCTTTTGATATTGACAGTTTCCTTTACTACCAATGTTATTTTTTTTTCTTTTTTTCCTGTCATTTCTGTACACAATGCACCTCTTGCCTGCTTCCAAAGGTAACTTTTGAGGGATTTACCACTAATCATTTAATTCATCACCAGGTGACTCTGTGCCTTTCACTGTTTCCCTACAATGACTTCACATTTCTATGTTGATGGTCTGGCATTTCAGTGGACTCCATTTCTCTCCACTGGACCATCTGGAGCTTGTTGTGCTGTTCCCACCAGCTCTGTTATCCTTTGTTACTATATGGCTATCACCAGGCTGAGCTTTATCTCTTCCTCCTGCTCCTGCACTGCATTGTCAGCCTGAATTTTCTGTTTAAGCCTTGCTAAGCTGCCGTGGTGGGATAAGTCTCTATTGCTAAGTTGGGAAAGTGCTGTCAGGGTTGTGGCCACCTGGGATGGGGTGATAGGAATGAGAAGTTACAGCTCCAGCCCTTGGCTGCGGTCCTAACCTTTTCGTTAGGTCGTGGCTGTGATCCTGCTACTGCTCAGGTTCCTGGCCAAGATCCCCCTAATTTTGACTAGATGGGAATTAGGTCTCGGGCTTTGTCTTGTCTTGAGTCCTGATGTCATTCAGGGAGCATTTCAGGGCCCTGGTGTCCTGGGTTTTTTGAGGGTTGCTGATAGGAATGGGGGTGCCATAAGCCAAACTTCATCCTTTGAAGCAATGTTTTAGCCAGAGAGATTTAGACCCTGGAGGTCTGGCTGCCCTCAGACAGGCAGCCCTGCACCACCACATGCTCCCAGAGTGGCTGGTGCCCCAGGTACCATCAGGGTTTAAGATCCAGCTGGTGTGAACAAGCAGCACCAAATGTATCCCAACCCCCCCAGGGCTTCCTGAAGCTCACCAAGTTGTGGCAGAGCTGCTGGAAAAACCCTGCAACGCCCTATCCTAGGGCTGCCGTGGGGATAAGGGCTGTCATCCCATAGCCTGGGAGATGCAATCCTCAAGGAGGGTGGCTGCCTGTATTGAGGGACCCCCCAATACAGGACAGAGCTTGGGTCAAGAGGTGGCACAGGATGTTTGTCCAAGCTGCTTGTAGCCCTGGGTTGGGTGTCGGAGCTGTAGGGCATTGGCCTGGCCATGAAGGCCAGCACTTTGCGGGGAGAATGGGATTGGGGATGATTCAAGGGCACAGGGAGTGGCAAGCAATCTCCTGATGTTCATTGATGCCATCCCACCGCTGAGCAAACACGGGGGCCGGTCCGGGCTGCAGGCCACCAAGGGGGAGGCACCCAAACTAGTGCGTGGGCAGGGGGAGCACAGAAGGGCTTCTTGCGTAAGGTCAGCTACACAGAAACGCAGATCCAGGAAAACACGCAGCCGGATCAGCCGCAGCCCCCAGCCACGTCCATCTCCAGGCACAAGCGGCTCTGAAGCTCACTGTCTCCATCAGACAGTGGGGTGGTGGGTCCTGGGAGCCACCAGTCCCCGCAGCATCCCACCAGGTCATCCCAGAGCCAGGCTTGAGGGCTCCCAGCCTCAGTTTGCACCCAGTGCAAACAAAGGGGTGAAAGCCACCTCGCAGGAGCAAGGCAGGAGCTTGGAGTGGGAGTTTGGGGTGTCCCTGAGGAAACCTGCAGAGGGAAGTGCCCTTGTTACCACCGGGCAAAACGAGCCTCAGATCCCTGCTGGCCCTTGCCCGCAGCGCGGTGACTCAGCAACGTCCCTGCAATTATTTACAAATAATGAGTTAACCACAAAACACGTGCCACGACATACATGAGGCAGCGGCGTTTGCGTTCTCCATACGCAATCACGGCCTTGAAGCAATGCTGCAAGAGCCTGCACCAGTGCCCAGCCCGGGCAGGGATTTCTTCCCTGACCTCC